TTAGGAGGAAATTAAAAACAACAATGAAAATCAGCAAAGGGAGGTATTACACTAAAGGAAATACCAATCCAAGGAGAAACCAAGTCAAGTTAAATACCAAAAATAAACAAAAATGACTGGGAAAACAAATCAAGTCTCAATAATAATCCTGAATGTTAATGGCCTAAACTCACCAATCAAAAGACACGACTGGCAGATTGGATTAAAAAGGCCCAAAAATATGCTGCCTCCAAGAGATTCATCTCATAGGAGAATACATCCACAGACTGMAGGTGAAAGGTTGAGAAAAAAAGTACCACTCACATGGACTGTGGAAATATGCAGGCCTCACACCCTCATATCAAATAAAGTAGACTTCAATACAAAGGTAATCAAAAGGGATAAAGAAGGACATTTCATGTTGCTCAAGGGAACCATATATCAACAAGACCTAACAATTATGAATATATATGTGCCAAACAATGGAGCATCTACATTCATCAAACAAACTCTTGTCAAGTTCAAGAGTCAAATAGACTACAACACAATAATTCTGGGTGACTTTAAAACACCTCTTTCACCACTGGATAGATCTTCCAAACAAAGCTGAACAAAGAAATGATAGAATTCAATAAAACAATTGATAACTTAGACTCAACTGACATATAAAAAATATTTCATCATCAATGAGTGAATACACTTTCTTTTCAGCAGCACATGGATATCCTTCTCTCAAATAGACCACATAGTATGCCACAAATCAACTCTTAGCAAATAGAATAAGCAGAGATACTACTCTGCATTCTATCAGATCATAATGGAATTAAATTATAAATCAATGATAAAATAAAAAACAGAAGCTACTCAATACCTGAAAACTAAATAATATGCTATTGAATGAACAATGGGTTGCAAAATATATCAAAGAAGAGATTAAAAATTGTTAGAGGTAAACGAGTACTAATACAACATCAAAATCTCTGGGACACTATGAAGGCAGTACTAAGAGGAAAGTTCATTGCATGGAGTTCATTCCTTAAAAGAAGAAAACGTCAACAAATAAATGACCTAATATTACATCTCAAAGCTCTAGAAAAAGAACAAATCAACACCAAAAGCAGTAGAAGACAGGAAATAATTAAAATCAGAGCTGAAATAATGAAATTGAAACAAACAATTGAAAAAAATTGACAAAACAAAAAGTTGGTTCTTTGAAATAATAAATAAAACTGATAAACTCTTAGCTATGCTAATGAAGAGAAGGAGACAGAAAACTCAAATTGCTAACATTCATGATGAAAAAGGAAATATCAAGACACACAATACAGAAACACAGAAGATAATTAGAAATTATTTGAAAATTTATACTGACAGCATTGAGAAATTTTTATAGGCACATGATTTGCCCAAACTGAATCAGGATGATATATACAAGTTAAACAGATCAATTTCAAGATACGAAATAGTAGACACCATTAGAAGCCTACCAATAAAAAAAAGCCCAGGACCAGTTGGATACACAGCTGAGTTCTACAAGACCTTCAAAGAAGAACTAATACTTCTCAAATTATTTCATGAAATAGAAAAAGAGGGAAAACTTTCAAACTCATTCTATGAGGCCAATATCATCCTGATTCCAAAACCAGGGAAAAACACATCAAAGAAAGAAAACTTCACACCAATATCACTAATGAACATAGAAGCAAAAATTTTCAATAAAATTCTGGCAAATCAAATACAAAAAAAAAAAAACATATCAAAAAGATAGGGTACCATGATCGAGTAGGGTTCATCCCAGAGATGCAAGGTTGGTTGGTTCAACATACAGAAACCAAAAAATGTAATTCATCACATCAATAGATTTAAAGATAAGAATCATGATCATCTCAATAGATGCAGAAAAATTATTTGACAAAATACAGCATTCTTTCATGTTAAAAACACTAGAAAAACTAGGGAAAACAGGAACATATCTCAACATTATAAAAGCAACTATGCTAAGCCCCATGCCAACATCATTCTAAATGGAGAAAAACTGAAAGTATTTCCTCTAAAAACTGGAACAAGACAGGAATGCCCTCTTTCACCACTTCTGTTTAACATAGTTCTTGAAATACTGGCCAGAGCAATTAGACAAAAGAAATTAAATGGATACAGATAGGAAAAAAAGAATTCCAATTATCATATTTGCTGATGATGTGATTCTATACCTAGAGGATCCAAAAAAATTCCACCAGAAAACTTCTAGAACAAATAAATTTGGAAAGATAGCAGGATATAAAATCAACACCCATAAATCAAAGGCATTTCTGTATATCAGTGACAAATCCTCTGAAGAAACAAGGAAAACTACCCCATTTATAATAGCCTCAAAAAAAAAAAAAAAAACCTTGGGAATCAACTTAATGAAAGTGGTGAAAGACCTCTACAATGAAAATTACAGAACACTAAAAAAAGAAATTAAAGGAGACCTTAGAAGATGGAAAAATCTCCCTTGTTCTTGGATAGGCAGAATTAATATTGTCAAAATGACCATACTATCCAAAGCACTATACAGATTTAATGTAATTCCAATCAAAATACCAATGACATTCCTCATAGAAATAGAAAAAGCAGTCATGAAATTCATTTGGAAAAATAAGAGACCCAAAATAGCCAAAGCAATCCTTAGTAAGAAAAGTGAAGCTGGTGGCATCACTATACCAAACCTTAAACTATACTACAGAGCAATAGTAATAAAAATGGCACTGTATTGATACCAAAACGAACATGTAGACCAATGGTACAGAATAAAGAACACAGAGACAAATGCACATAAATACAGTCATCTCCTATTAGACAAAAGTGACCAAAACATATACTGGAGAAAAAGTAGCCTCTTCAACAAATGGTTCTGGGAAAACTGAAAAATATGCAACAAAATGAAATTAAGCCCCTCACTCTCTCTCACTATGCACAAAACTCAACTCAAAATGGATCTAGGACCTAGGATTTAAACCAGAGATACTGTGTCTACTGGAAGAAAAAGTAGGCCCAAATCTTCATCATGTCGGATTAGGCCCCAACTTCCTTAATTAGAGAATTAAAATCAAAGAATCAATAAATGGGATGGATTCAAACTGAAAAGCTTCTTTTCAGCAAAAGAAAAGAAATCAATGAGGTGAATAGAGAGCCTATAGAATGGGAGCAAATTTTTACCACTCACACATCAGATGGAGCACTAATCTCAAGCACTCAAAAATCTTAACACACACACACAAAACACATATTCCAATCAATAAATGGGCCAAGGAACTGAACAGACACTTCTCAGAAAATGATACAATCAATCAACAAATATATGAAAAAGTGTACAACATCTCTAACAATTAAAGAAATGCAAATCAGGGGCTGGGGATGTGGCTCAAGTGGTAGCGTGCTCGCCTGGCATGCATGCAGCCCGGGTTCGATCCTCAGCACCACATACAAAACAAAGATGTTGTGTCCGCCGAAAACTAAAAAAATAAATAAATATTAAAACTCTCTCTCTTTCTCTCTCTCTCTCTCTCTCTCTCTCTCTCTCTCTCTCTCTCTCTCTCTCTCTCTCTCTCTCTCTCTCTCTCTCTCAAAAAAAAAAAAGAAATGCAAATCAAAACTACTCTTACTCCAGTAAGATTTCATCTCACTCCAGTCAGAATGGCAGCTATTAAGAATACAAACAACAATTATTGATGAGGATGTGGGGAAAAAAGCACACTCATACATTGCTGGTGGGACTGCATGTTGGTGCAGACAATCTGGAAAGCAGTAGGAGACTCCTTGGAAAACTTGGAATGGAATCACCATTTGACCCAGCTATCCCTTTCCTCAGTCTAATACCCAAAGGACTTTAAAACAGCATACTACAGGGACACAGCCACATCAATGTCTATAGCAGTACAATTCACAGTAGCTAAATTGTGGAACCAACCTAGATTCCTTTTAGTAGATGAATGGATAAAGAAACTGTGGTATATAAACACAATGGGATACTACTCAGCATTAAAAGAGAATAAAATCATGGCATTTGCAGGTAAATGAATGGAGTTGGAGAATATCATGCTAAGTGAAGTAAGCCAATTCCAAAAAACAAAATGCCAAATGTTTCTCTGATATGTGAATGCTGATCCATAATGGGGGTTGTGGGGAGTATGGGAGGAATGGAAAAACTTTAGATAGGGAAAAGGAGAGGGTGAGGAAGGGAGGGGGCATGGGTATAAGAAAGACGGTGGAATGAGATGGACATCATGACTCTAAGTACATGTATGAAGACAGGAATGATGTGACTCTACTTTGTGTACAACCAGAGACATGAAAAATTGTGCTCTGTATGTATACTATGAATTGCAATGCCTTCTGCTGTCATGTATAACAATTATAATAAATAAATAAATTTTTTAAAAAGTAGAATGGATATAATTTAAAGAAAACTATTTTTTCCCAAAAGGCTATATACAAACATGAATTAGGACAAAAAATGAACTGTTATATCCTACTATATGAAAGACTAATGAGATACTTTAAATTACTTTTGACTTTTTTTAACTGACTTTTAGAAAGAATACAGATCTCAATCTATCAGTATCTACTTTCAACCTTATAAACCTATTTTCTATGTTATAAATTTGATCTATTTTTAAGGGTTGCTATAGCTGGGTGAACTGAAGAGTCAATGAATATTATAATCTCATCTCTAGTCATTATCCTATGTTTTTTGTCATATCTTGATCGGAACATATCACCATAAGTAGTATTTTATCTGTGATCATGGTTCTGAATGTCTCTCAAATTACTCCCACTATCTTAAATATAGTAGTATCTTTGTTAACAATTATACAAACTACCGGTTTGTATCACTGACTTTTAATGATAATTCCATATATATGAAGAAGACCATTTTTTCAGCCTTTGCAAACTTTAAAATGTCCCTTAAGAAGAAGATGAGGTAACAATGACCCTAGATATCTGAAATAATCACACTTTTGAGTAATAGACATATTTACCTGCATCTTCAGAGTTTCTTATTTCAAACACCAATAAATTTTCCTGTTTTTCTTCTATATCTTGCAGAATGGCACTGATGGTCTCATGCTATCAGATAAAAATATCAGAAACTATAAGAGGGTAGATATGCTCTCCCACCTGTCACTGACAAAAATGCACAATTATAACAAGCTGCTAAAAATGTTTCATTTTTCTTTATGCTCATGTTTTATGTAAGCTTAACTATATAAATATCATAGAGTTGAAAAAAATAGTAAACAGATCTTGATTTATATAGTCAAATCTCCTGGGAATGTGAGAGTAGCAATCATACAAGGAGTCATAACTTCTCATTTTGTTWAAATTATAGTCATATGACAGGAAAAAAAACAGCACATACTATTTAAAAATCACATATATATGAAAGTCCACTTTAAGGCTTTATGACTATCACTGAATAGTATTAAAATCTCATACATAATCTTCAAAGTATAAAACATTACTCTCAAAAACTCATAAAGGGTATTCTACCCCTTAATGCCTTTGTCTATATTCATCTTCCTTCCCTGAATGTCTTCAATTCACACTGCCCAGATCCCTGTCTTTCTTATGAGAATCTTAGAGTAGGCTCCAGAACCAGAATGTCTGTGGGTGAATATTGGCTCCACTTCTTCCTAACTGGGTGAATCCAACAATGAATGTTGCCTCTCTGTGTTTGAAATGAGTAACACAGGTAAAATGCTAAAGGACAATGTCAGACGAAGTAAGAACTTAATAAATATTATTATATAAATATATCTGTTATATTGTTATACATATAAATCATATATATCTCATACATGAAACCTCTGATCTAATATATACTGATTTCTCTTTTCTCAGAATTACTTAAGAGTTTCATAGCTTTATAATTTAGCATTAATATGGATAATGTCATATACATAATATGTCCTTATCAAGATAATGAGGTCTTGTAGGCAGAAGCATAGTTTTTACATTTGTATATGCTTTCCCTATTGCTGGATACATAGTTATTGCTCCATAAATGATGACTGATGGATTAACTCATTTATCCTTTCATAAATTCTCATACATTTTTAAAATGTGTAGGTCATCAAAGTCTTCTGAAGTATGTTGCTCTAAAATTTTTACTTTGGTGTTCACAAGGGATATGAAAAATGCACACAATAAAYATAATATTCTAATTATTTAGTTAAGCACTCTTCCTGCTGTCATTTAYTGAATACATCAAAGTGAAACTATATAATGCAAACATGCAAAACAAACAAAAAGCCTAAGGTTTACCTCCTTATAGAGTGAATARCTTATGGGTACACAAGAAAACTAAAGGTCTAAACTTATACTCGGGCTAAGTCTGCCTCCACCTATAGGCTAAGATAAAGAAAATTTCTGGTGCCAACTTTCTTTTCCATTTTGTGATTGAGTACATTGGACCACAATGGGAGAAAACTTTCATTCAAGATAATCTTTCACTTATGATACTACCTTTTTAGGAAGTTTGTGTCTTAGTAAACTTTATGTTTTTGTCAAACTGAGAATATCCATCTTTATAAAGGTTACTTTCATCTGCTATATCTGGGTTCTAGAGTCTTGCCAACGTATTATATATCCTAGATACTTTTGAGAATGAATGAGTGAAGACATACTATGACAGTGGCAGAGTTAGTTGGATAAGAAGTAGCCAAACACAAGCTAGGTATAAAGGACAGCAACTAATACAAAGTTCTGTATTCAATACAGGTAAGTCAGAGTTAACCATACAGCATACTTTCTTGGCTTATTCTGCTCAATTATTTTCTTATTACAAAAGAGAATTTTCAACAACCTTGAGTCCTTATCATGGAAAGAGTTCTGCCAATAGTCAGTGGCTGGATGGTACAAAGAAAGGCATTTTCTAGGTTGAAGATAAAAAGGGTTGTAATTTTACTCACCACAGGAAGACTTTCTCTTGTTTTTTCTTGGCGTGAAAGGGAAGATGGATCAACATTTTTGTCAACATCACAAAAACACTGTTTGTGTCTTTTTGTCCGAACAGCAGGAATTTCTGCTTTAAAAAATAAATTTTAAAAATAGATAAGAATATGCAAAAATGTAGCTTTATTTTATCAATTTTAATGGTAATATGAATGGGAAAAATAATAATTTACAGTTATTATATCTTAATGTTAATTAAGGTATAATAAACTGTATATTATATATGATATATAATATATATATTATAATATAATATATATATTATATATAATAAACTGTATATATATATATATATATGATATACTTGCTTAACAACTTAGTATTACATACCTTCTATGTATCAGTTTAGACTTCCTACGAACTTTTTCATGTAGGTAGTATAATATATTTATTTCACAAAAGAAAGCAAGGTTTCAGAGAAGTTCAGGAAGTTGTCCAATGTCACACAGCTAGTACTTAAACCAGATGTCATCTGACTCCAAGTCCGTGCTTTTAACTATTATAACTATGATTCATTGTTCTGTAAAGTTCTCTTGGACCCTTCTCCCACCATGGATTCCCTTTCTTCATACTTCCATTTGCCCTGTACCCCTTATCCCATTGGGGTACCTAAYTAAGAAATGTACATACAAAACCAACAGACACGGGAATAGGTATACTAGTATATAACAGAGTCCAGATAACTTCAGTTACAAGATTTCCCTGGTATGCTGAGCTCAGCTAAATCATGGAACTTGATCCTTACGTATGGCTGTGGAGAGGAAGAGTGAAATGGCTAAGGACATAAGAAAGGGGCTCACACTATAGACTTACTATACAATGGCAGATCATAGAAAACTTTTTAGCAGTCTTGATCTTAACCAATATGTAATCCATCTTGCTAGTAAAATATCACACAGTGAACATCCTTGGTTCTGCCTAATCATACATTAGTAATTTTTCCTCCCTTGAAAATCAATAGTTGGTGAGGAAGGAGGCAGGCAAGGCAGAAGTGTACCTCAGGGTTCTCACCTCCCCATTCTCCCTCATAGTGAGGGCACAGGAAGGTTTTCTCTTTTTTTTTTTTCCTTTTTTTTTTTCTTGGAGTTTCTTTTTCTATGAGTCAAGGCTCAAACATGGGAAGAAATGAAGAACGATCTCCTCTCCTCAGCCCTTAATAAAATATAAATTATTGCTAAAAAATTGTTCATAAAATTTTTGCCTAGCTATACATTCCCTTATATAGACTTTTCACTGTAATGTACGTAAAACACACATATGAGTATGATATACTTGCTTAACAACTTAGTATTACAAGAACATTTGAAAATTGACATGAATCCAACCAATGTATGATTACAAATTTTGAAGTAACAAAATATCGGTTGCAGAGTCTTCAGTATAATGTTACCCTTTTCTAGCTCCACTATAAGTAAACTATCTGCTTGGTTTCAGTTACTTCTCTATCTCCAACCCAAAGGTAGGAAGATGAATGTTTGATTAATGAACAACATAGGTTTTATTTTAACATGTAACTCCAATCCAGTAGAATCATATGATCTATAAATTAAACCAAACTCAAAAGTGCTAATTTCTAAAAATAATGGCTTTTATAAAGTTTAATAAACATAGGAAATATCTATCCCCAGTTATGGAATAACTTATATTACAAATGTAAAAATGTTATTTTTCTAAGTAGAGATATCACTTATATAAAATAGCAAGCAGTACTGACATACATACCAGTGACTGTAGCATTACTTTCATCTCTATTATTGGCTTCAATAGCACCATGAGATTTTAGCAACTCTTTCATTTTATCATTATCTGCTTCATCCAAAGCAGTCTTCTGTTTTTGATCTTTCTGATTAGGGTTTGCTCCATGTTGTAGTAGTATTTCAGCTGCCTACAAGGAGTTTTTCAAAGTTTTATCTACACATATCTGCTTTAAGACACCTCTACCAAGCATTAGAAATAATCCATAAAAGTTTTCAAACTCTAGTCAAGAAAACTTTTGATTAAATTTGATATAGCAATTGCTAACTGATCCATTGATTTGGCCTGATTAGTTTTTCTTCCAGAGAGCCAAAAAACATAATATGAAAATAAAAAATGTTTTATAAGACCTTTAAAGAAGAACTAACATCAATACTTCTCAAACTATTTCATGAAATAGAAAAAGAGGGAACGCTTCCAAACACATCCTATGAGGCCAATATCAACCTGATTCCAAAACCAGACAAAGACACATCAAAGAAAGGAAACTTCAGACTAATATCTCTAATGAAAATAGATGCAAAAATTCTCAATAAAATCCTGGCAAATCAGATACAAAAACATATCAAAAAGATAGTGCATCATGATCAAGTAGGGTTCATCCCAGGAATGCAAGGTTGGTTCAACATAGGGAAATCAAAAAATGTAATTCATCATATCAATAAACTCAAAGACAAGAATCATATGATAATCTCAATAGATGCAGAAAAAGCATCTGATAAAATATAGCATCCCTTCATATTCAAAATGCTAGAAAAACAAGGGATAACACGAACATACCTCAACATTGTAAAGGCTATCTATGCTAAGCCCCAGCCAACATGATTCTAAATGGAGAAAAATTGAAAGCATTCCCTCTAAAAACTGGAACAAGACAGGAATTCCCTCTTTCACCACTTCTATTTAACATAGTTCTTGAAACTCTATCCAGAGCAATTAGACAGAAAAAAGAAATTAAAGGAATACAGATAGGAAAAGAAGAACTCAAATTATCACTATTTGCAGATGATGTGATTCTATACCTAGAAGACCCAAAACATTCCACCAGAAATCTTCTAGAACTGATAAATGAATTCAGCAAAGTAGCTGATATAAAATCAACACCATAAATCAAAGGCATTTCTGTACATCAGTGACAATCCCACTGAAAGTGAAACTAGGAAAACCATCCCATTTATAATAGCCTGAAAAATAAAATACTTGGGAATCAACTTAATGAAAGAGGTGAAAGACCTCTCAATGAAAACTACAGAATGCTAAAGAAAGAAATTAAAGAAGATCTTAGAAGATGGAAAGATCTCCCTTGTTCTTGGATAGGCCGAATTAATATTGTCAAAATGACCATACTACCAAAAGCACTATACAGATTTAATGCAATTCCAATCAAAATCCCAATGGCATTCCTTATAGAAATAGAAAAAGCAATCATGAACATCTGGAAAAATAAGAGACCCAGAGTAGCCAAAGCAATCCTTAGCAAGAAGAGTGAAGCTGGTAGCATCACTATACCAGACCTAAGACTATATACTACAGAGAAATAGTAACAAAAACAGCATGGTATTGGCACCAAAATAGACCTGTAGGCCAATGGTACAGAATAGAGAACACAGAGTTTAACCCACATAACTTGAGTTATCTTAGCAAAGACGCCAAAAACATACATTGGAGAAAAGATAGCCTCCTCAACAAATGGTGCTAGGAAAACTGGAAATCCACATGTGACAAAATGAAATTAAACCTCTATCTCTCACCATGCACAACAGTACACTCAAAGTGGATCAAGGACCTAGGAATTATACCAGAGACCTTGCACCTAATGAAAAGTAGAAAGAGTAAAGAAAAAGTAGGCCCAAATCTCCATCATGTTGGATTGACTCTAACTTTCTTAATAAAACTCCTGTAGTGTAAGAATTAAAACCAAGAATCAATAAATGAGATGGATTCAAACTAAAAAGCTGCTTCTCAGCAAAACAAACAATCAGCAAGGTGAACAGAGAGCCTACAGAATGGGAGCAAATCTTTACCACAAGCACATCAGGTAGAGCACTAATCTAGGATATATAAAGCACTCAATAAATGGGACAAGGAATTTAACAGACACCTCTCAGAAGATGATATGCAATTAATCAACAAACATGAAAAAATGTTCAACATCTCTAGCAATTAGAGAAATGCAAATTAAAACTACTCTTAAGATTTCATCTCACTCCAGTCAGAATGGCAGCTATTAAGAATACAAACAACAATTAGCGTTGGCCAGGATGTAGGGAAAAAGGCACATTGCTGGTGGGACTACAATCTGGTGCAGCCAATCTGGAAAGCAGTATGGAGATTCCTTGGAAAATTGGAATGGAACTACCATTTGACCCAGCTATTGCACTCCTCAGTCTATATCCAAAGGATTTAAAAACAGTATACTACAGAGACACAGCCATATCAATGTTTATAGCAGCACAATTCACAATAGCTAAATTATGGAACCAACCTAGATGCCCTTCAGTAGATGGATAGGGAAACTTTGGTGTACATACACACAGTGGAACATTACTCAGAATTAAAAGAGAATAAAATCATGGTATTTTCAGGTAAATGGATGAAGTTGAAGAATATAATGCTAAGTGAAGTAAGTGAAGTAAGCCAATCCCCCCAAACCAAAGGCCAAATGTTTTCTTTGATATGCTGATTCATAATGGGCCTGGGGGGAGCATGGGAGGAATAGAGGAACTTTAGATAGGACAAAGGGGAGGTAGGGAAAAGGAGGGGGTAAGCGGGTAGGGATGATGGTAGAATGAGTTAGACATCATTTCCCTAAGTACATGTATGAAGGCACGAATGGTGTGAAAATATGTTGTGTACAGTGACTTGAAAAATTGTGCTCTGTATGTGTAATATTGAATGAATTGCATTCTTCCATTATGTATAACAAATTAGAATTAAAAATATATTACTGGAAAAAAAGAAAGACTATAAAAAAAAGAAGGAAAGAAACTGCTGTTACTGCTAGGGCTGTAGCTCAGTGGTAAAGTGCTTATTTCACATGTGTGAGGCACTGGGTTTGATCCTTAGCACCACATAAAAATAAATAAAGATACTGTGTATTCATCTACAACTCTCTTTCTCTCTCTCTCTTATATATATATATATATATATATATATATATATATATATATATATATATATATGAAACTGTTGCTTTTGGTGTGACAATGGAATTATGGTTAGGATTTTTTTTAAAGAGTCTTTAGAGGGAGGTTTGCTATGATATTTAAAGATAAAGTCTGGTAAATAATATGGGAGAGGAGAAAGAATCAGGATTGGGTACAGATGAAACAAGATTGTTCATAAATTGACACTTGTTGAAGCAAAATGACATACATGGGGTTTATTACACTGTACATGTTTAAATTTCTCATAATGTAAAATAAAGAGAAATAAATCCAGGTTGAATTCAAAAACAAAACAAAACAAAGAAAATATATACCCCACAGCCGTGCCACAAATGAACCACTTCCTCCAGCTATACCACACCCACCTCCAGTCATCACCCAGTTAATCCCATCAGGGATCAATTCACTGATTAGGTTAAAGCTATAATCTGGTCATTTCTCCTCCAAACCCTTTTGCATTGTCTCACATGTGAGCTTTTGGAGGACATGACATCTAAGGTTAGTGAATCTTTATCATAAATCTTTATCCAGTTGACTCCAGTGTTGTGACATTATTTGACCCAACATCCATTCCCAAGCCCCTTCTCCTTTGTTATCTTCCTTTATAAAGGCTAGAAAAATCTAAAAACATGCTTTCACAGTCTTTCCTGCACCTATGAGTGACTTCAAGAAAACTTTTACATTCTTAGTTTAAAAAACAGAAACAATTGGGACCAACTCTTCATCTTTCTTCCTATCTTAGATGAGTATGTGATCTCAGGAACTGTGTAGCCATCTTGTAACTATAAAGCAACAAACATGAAAGATAGAGTTTTGATGATACCATTAAACCTCTTTATCAATTCTAGACTGCCTACCTCTAACTTTCTTAAGTGAGAAAAAGAAATGAATAATTGCATATTCAAAAAAGAAAGAAAGAAAGAAAGAAAGAAAATACAAAATGCTGACTTCACTGTTATAAAAAGTTAACAGAGGTAGGCCCACTTCTAGATCAGTTCTGCCCCCCCAAAATTTTCTATAATAAAGAAATGTTCTATATCTGCTCTGTTCAATAGAGTAGCTATTAGTCACATGTAGCTCACTGCAGGATATAAAATGTGGCAAATGTCACTAAAGAAATGTATTTTGAATTTTATTTAATTCAAGTTTACATAGCAAAATTAGCTCACAGTTACCTCATAGAATAGCATAGGTGTAGATGCTGTGTAGATTTAGTCATTTGCATGCAAATGTGAAATCAAAATTAAGAACGGTTGCAAATTAGATTATGCTATAAATCAATTAGCAGAAATTGGTGAGTAACCCCACTTGTATGAGGCAAAAAAGTGAATCAAACTACTTGAAAAACTTATGACTAGGAAAAAAGGTTCAGGATTTTGTTAAAATGAAGACATCTTATGTGCTAATGGATTTTTATCTTTCTGCTCCTGTCCATGGATGGAGAGGCAGAGAAATGTAGGAGCAAATGAGTCAGCAGAAATGACTAATTATAGTCCTTATTTGTTGTGTTTGTCTAGAAGTAACAGAGCTTAAAGGGAAACACCCTKGTTTTAAAGTCAAACATATATAACTCCTGCTACTTACTAGCTGTGTCCTTAAGCAAGCTGCTTAAAATCTCTGAATCTCTTTTTAAAATCACTTATGAGGATTAAATGTAAGTCCTTATAAAGTATCTGGCACATAGTGGGATCTTAAAAAAACTAGCTCTCTAATACCCCATTTTTCCTTTATAGAGCTGAAAAGTACCTGTAGTAAAGACATACAGATCCCTGGCAAAGATCTTTGATTAGATTTGCAATAGCACCTCAATTAAGTGTAAATAAAGGTGTGGAAGGGAAATTTTACCTACTTATTTTTAAATGATAGGATCAGCAATACCTCAATCCAGCAGTTTCTAAGTCTGACTCTTCAATAATGTAAATTGTGGAACTATTTAAAAATATTTAAATAGATTTCTCATATC